GATGTCCCTGGGGGGGTTGGTGGTGTCAGGTCCACGATCTGCTCCCTCCAGCGTGGACACCCCAAAGCCCCGGGCCTGCTCCGTCCCTGGAGGCCTCATCCCAGCACCTGCGGGATCTTCACACCTTTCTCTGATTTATCATCCGTTATATTCTCTATAAATGCCGTTTTCTCACTTAAAACGAGCGGTTGCAAATAAGCTCTGGGTAGTTCTTGCGTCCAGCAGAAAACGCGGAGTTTAAAGATCTCGTTTCTTCTTGCCTTACTTCCAGCAACCCCTGGTTCTCCCCGTCAAGGCATGCGAGCTGCCCGCTGTGTCCGATGGCCACCAAACCAACTGGGAAACTCCAGTGCCGGGAATCTGAAACAACGCAAAAATCGGGAGTATAAATACAGGAACGTCTTGCCGCAACGCGCTGGGGGTTTCACAACCCGCTTCGCCCTTGCGCGGTGGCTCTGTCGGGTGCCACGCTGGGGAAAATCAACCCCAGCTTTACCCGCGGCGCCAGCGAGTTGCAGCCTGGTACAGGAGTAGGCAACAGGCTGAAAGAAATTCTCATTTTTGAGCGTTTGAGAAACACAATTTCACCATCAAGGGCCGCGCTGGGAGCTCAGCGGCTGCTTTGCCTCCCCCAGACGCTCCTGGGCGTCCTGCTCGGTGCCGAAAGGGCAGAAGTTGGAGGGATTCAGCGCCAGCGACTCTTCTCCGACCCTGTCAGGTTTGTCAACTGCAAGGAGGACGTTTCCGCGGGCAAGAGGGTGGTGTGTTAGTCCCTGTCCCTTACGTGATGCCCGTGGGGATCACGGTGGTGCTGAATAGAGCCGGGCTGGGCGCAGAGAAGGAGCTGAAGTCGGACCACGAGGGTACCGCTGCTGCTGCTGCGAGCCGGGACTGAGCTCTAACCCTGCCCTAACCCTTACTGAATTATTTCCGAGGGGTTTTATCCTGCAACAAGCCGAGCCCCTGGCCGGGCCGGCTGGCTTTCCTGCTCCCAGACTGCCTCTGCTTCAGTGTCGGCTTGTATTTTAAGCGTGTCTGTGTGTGCATGGGCTCTGGGTGGGAGGCAGAAGCTGTGTAGGAGGAGAGGGCTGTCCCGACACCGGCCCTTGGACCCGCGGTCCCATCAAAGCCCTCATTTCCCCAGGGTGGAGGGTGACTGGTGCAGCACTCGTGCTTGGAAAATGACTGGCTCCGCGTCCAGGCCTTGAGTCACCAGTTCACGCCGTCGTTGTGGGCTGTTGTTTTCCGTTTGCAAAGCACGAGCGGTGACCTGCTGTTTATTTATAACTCGGAGAGCGTCGCTTGTTGGGTGACCGAAGAGCCGAGCTCTTGGACGGGGTCTCTGCCTCTCCTGGCACAAGGTTTGATTCGAACAAGCCGTTCCCAAAGAGTCTGGCTGTTTTGCAGCAGTTTGGTAAATAAACAGCTCTGCTCTCGCACCGGCGACTCTCTTCCTCGGTAGGTTTAACCACGCCGGCTTGCTGGCTGGTTTTATTTCTCACTTGTTTTATTTTCTTTGTTTTACTTGAGCTGTTGTGCTCTGCCTGTGTAACCTCCGGGGTGGTGACTGCTGGGAAAACCATGTGGGTTTTTTTCTGCCGTAGATGTGCTTGTCTCTGCGTTCGTACATCCATCCCGACTCTTATCCTTTCAAGATCATATAGGAACAGCTGTGGCTTTCCAGGATCTGCCTGGTAGTGCTCCGGTACCCTCCGGTTCATTCTAGAGCCGGCTAGCCCAGCACCAGGGCTGCCGGTCCAATTGCCCCATGTTTCAGTGAAGACTTGTGTTAGGTGAAATCCACTTTGGAGCTGGTCGGTTGCACTCGTTATTCAGGAAAATGCTGTCCCAACAGAAGCAGGTGCCGTGTGGATTCGCGGCGCTGGAACAAACTGGTTGGACTGGTTGTGGTGGGAGTGGAGAGTCCCATGGTGAAGGTGGCGGATGTCCTCCTCGGCGCCTCGCCTGCTGCAGACACTGGGAGAGGTGATGCCGGTGAAGCGGCGTGTGTTTTGGGGGAATACCACTGACTCAGTAAAATCTGGATGAGATCTTTGCAAAGACACCGCTGTCACCCCTCCCCTGCAGCCGACTGGGGACACTGGGGTGGCTGACACCGAGATCACAAACAGCAGGTCAAGTCCTGGAGCTGAAACACCCACGCTGCCTCTCCGGGCAGGAGAAATGCCACCCTGTGCCCACGGCTTCTTTCTCCCCGCCTTGGATCTCTGCCTACAGCTCTCGCGTCTTGAATTTGTCTTGGGTGGGAGTTGTCGCCTGTTTGCAGGGTGTATGCAGGAGGCGGTGGGGAAAGGGCTGCCCGGCCCTGAGGAGCCTGATGCTGGCCGAAGAACCTCTCATGTGGAGGGCAGAGATGGGGACAGCTCTTTGCGGTCCTTGTCGACCGCTGCTGTCACTTAGGTGTCCCCTCGCTCTCCCCAGAAACCCCCAGCGGCGCCTCGAGCCTCTGAGCCAGAGGTTAACTTTCCCGTAATCACTGCGCTCCCCCACTGCTGTGTTGCAACCCGAAGAGAGGAAATCTTATGACAAGTCACGGTGAAAACAGTTTCCTTTTCTATGAAATTGTCTGTGAACTCTGGAAGCACTGAGGATCGATCCGGGGTTTGTCCCCAGAGGGCTCTTGAACTGCTGCTCCAAACAGGACCGGCTGGTGCAGTACACGCATGGACTGCTCCAAGCCCTGGGATGCTCTGGATTTGGGCTGTTACAGGTTTAGGCTGCTTTAGGTCTGGGATGCTCTGGATTTGGGCTGCTCCAGGTCTGGGATGCTGCAGATTCAGGTTGCTTCAGCTCTGATAAGCTCCAGATTTGGGCTGCTCCAGGTCTGGGATGCTCTGGATTCAGACTGCTCCAGGTTTGGGCTGCTCCAGGTTTGGGCTGCTCCGGATTTGGGCCACCATTGCCTTCAGAACCGGCTGTGACCATGTAACTGGTCTGCAAACCATGTTTCTGCCCTGATCTGACAGCTCATGGTGCAGGGAGAGGGACGGGTTGAAGCCGTCACCTCTGCTTGGGGAAAGCTGTGGGGGTTTTGTGTTGGCTTCGCAATAAAATCTGCAGTATCGATGCCATACCAAGCCCGATGTCTGCCGTGGCCGTGCCCAAACCTTGCTGTCAACTGCTGGGCTCTGTCCTTCTCTTGGATGGCAAAGCCACCGCAAGTGCTTCCAACTCAAGGGAGTACGCTTCTTCTCCAACCTCTTACATCCTTAGAAAGCTTTACGGCGGTAGCTGGTGCTGGAGCAGCTCTCGGACCCTTTTCAGCACCGAGACGTGCTGTGTTTGAGCAGGGAAGCAGCCGTGCGACGGGCGTCTCGCTGACAGCCGCGTGCTTTGCTCACAGAGCCTCCAGGCACAGCTTGGTTTCGCCAGACGGCTCTGAAGAACAGGGCAGGAGGCCAAAAGCCAGAAGTCAAAGGTCCCTTGTCGGCTGCAAACACCCTGCAGTTGCGGATGACCCCAGCGAGGCTGTCGCTGCCTGCTGGGCTCTGGTTTTCCCAAGGGTTCCCGTAGCGGGAGGACACCCGTTTTTCTCTCTCTCCCACCAAAGGCAGCTGCGGCAGAGCAGCCCCGCCGTACGCAACCCCAGGATCGGGGAGATCCCGGGCTGTCCAGTGTCTGCCTCTGAACGGAGCAACTGGAAACCTGATGGAGAACCCACATCCTTCCTTCCTGGCTTCCCAGGCGGTGCTGTGCCACGGGGGCGAGAGGGTCCATCCCGGCCGGGTTCGGCACCAGCATCGCTCCTCTGGCATGTACTGGAGGGATGAGCTGCTGTCACCTCTGCCCAGCGTCGGCTGGGGGGCGGCACACCTCTGTCTGGGCCACCTTAATGCCATTCACGTGGTTTTTGGGTGCTGTCATTCAGGCTCCCTCGGTAAATGCCTGTTTTGTTGCCCTTGCTGGCGCCTGGGCATTGCAGGTGATGGAGAAACAGAAGGGAAGCAGTCCCCAGCCCTGCGTGCATCGCTGCTGGCTTGACCGGCCCGCCGTCTTACCCAGGTTTAGGGCTGCCTGTGGGCAGCTTGCAAGGTTTAATTATTCCCTTTTGCAAGCGTTAATTACTCCCTCGCAGTCTCTTGGCCATGCTCTGTTTTGCCTGAAACTCTCGTGGTCCCCGGGAAGCGTGGCGTGTTTTGATGCGGTGGTGGGTCGGTCCCAGCTCGAAGCCGGCAGCAGTCCGACCGTGAGCGCTTGCAAAATGCCTCGGTGCGCCATCCGGGGCTCTTGCGTAGCACCGGGTGCCCTTCGCGTGGTAGGTGGGTTAGATGTAAAGCAAACGAGTGCTCAGACGTGCTCCTCCTCCTTGTCCCAAAGGTGACATGTGAAGGCAGCGCCCGGTGCAGGGAGCGGCAGCAGCTGAGATGCATTCGAGCCACACCGATGACCCCAAGGAAGCCATACAGGTGAGCGAGACACCCCGATGCTCCCCAAATAGCTCCAGTTACTCCCCAGTGCAACCCCAGTTACCGGCGGAGACGCGGTAGGACTTGTCGTTGCTGCCAGCTGGGATTGGGATGGTTTATACTGGCGAAGGGTGGCTCAAGCGTTCTGGCAGAGAGGATCCTTGATGGTTTGGTGGAGGGGGAATAAAATAGGGCGGCCGTGAGTTAAATCACACCAAACTCTACCCTGGGCTTTGCCCCTCGTGGTAAGATCCAGCACGGGGCAGGGGAAGGTGCTCAGCCCTGATAACTGGGTGAAGGAGCTTTGCTGCTCTGTATATTTGGGAGTTTCTTTACCCACCTTTGAGAGTCTAAACACGTTTAACGAGCAGAGTTCAAACCGGGTGTTTGATTCATCCCCCCAGCAGAATTAATTCACGCGTGACAGATAAAATCATTGGCGCTCTTTAATCCTGTTAGCCCACGGTTGCTGCTTGCAGGCGGGTTGGCTGTGTTGGCAGATCCGCGGGGCGGCTGGAACACAGCTTTTGCTGCGAGGGGCGTCCCGTGATAGGGGCAGGAATAAGGTGCGTGTTCCCCTGCCTGCTGTCCTTGAGCTACGACTGCTGGAAATCTTATTTAGATGCTGAAAAACAAAACAAACCAAAAAAATATCCCGGGCTGGAAATTTAATACGGGGTTGTGCGGCCAACTCAGGCTCGAGTCGAAATCTGCCCAGCCCCATTCGCGGCGGCTGGTGCCGTTCAGCGTTCGCCTCGAACGCCGCCTGATTGATGCCGAAACGTGAAGCGTTCGATGGGGTGCCGGCTGAATCTGCAGTGGTTGCCAAATGCCTGCCGGGGAGTACCACTCTCGTTTTAAATGAGGTTGATTGAGACATCCGGGCTCAGCTGCGTTGGAAAAAAAAAAAAAAAAAAAAAGAAAAAAAAATCCCTCTCCACCAGCGTAAAATCGGTAAATTCACTGAATTTGATTCTTTTCAACTGGTGTGAGAAAGAGAGAAGCAAAGCTGCTGGAAGGTACGATTCCCGTGTTTACGATTTGAAGCCCGCCGAAGGCAGTGGCTGAACCCCAACCGTCCTGCCAAAAGCATCTTTTTTTTTTCGAGGTGGGGGGGTGTCCATCCCCAGCAGCTCCTGTGGGTTAATCAACACAGACGAGCTGCTGAGACCGCCGGCGAGATCGATGGCTTTGATTTCTGCTGGCGGGACCGGTTAGCGCGTCACATGCTTCTTGGGCTGATCCGCACAAGTTCAAGTACACGTTCAGCCCTCAGTACGCGTTACCTCCTTTGAGTTTCTCCTTTCTCACCCGTGCTTATTTAATCCCTGTGTTTCCCCCGAGCAAGTGACTGGAAAAAAAACCCTTTCTTTTTCTCCCCATCTTCTTAACCAATTTGGTGTCTTGCAGAGGAAGCGCCACGCGCTCTAAAGGCAACGCAGCAACGCGAAACGCCGGCTCAAATTGCATAAGTTACTTATTTGAAGAAAGAAAAAGCCACATGAACTCAGATGCCAAGAGCATGAGTCCCCAGCTTGACCAGTTCGGCTGTAGGTGCTCCCTAACAGCCGCTGTGGAGCGCGTGGATGCAGCAGGAGCTGCGTGGTGCTTCGCTCTACGCGAGCCTTGCAGTTTTTTTGAGCCGTTTTATATGAAATCTTTCCCAATGCTTATTTTTTTTATAACGCAAACCTGTCCCTCCTGTCTTGCAGCTGATCAAGAAGCAACTGGTGAATGCCATCAAGGCGTTGCAGAAGCAGTACGTGACCTCGGATGCCGTTGTAACCAGCGACGATGGGAACGCCAACACCCTCTGCAGCGCCCTGGAAGCCGTCTTCGTGCACGGGCTGAAGGCGAAGCACATAAAAGCAGAGAGTGGGGGGAAAGGGAAGAAAGCAGGGGGTCGGGGACCGCTTCCCCAACCGGTCTTCTGGGGTCTGCTGAAGAGCATCACCCATCGGTGAGTGCCCGTCTCTGCCGACAGGCGTTTGCACCCTCAGGTTTATCCCCTCTCTTTTGTGCAAAAGCCGTGAAATTCAGGGAATGGTGAACAGGAAGATGGGCTCCGTGGAAAGATACGTCTCCATCCCGTCCCGTGCGTTCAGTCCCTTCGGTCGGAGGGAGAGATGCTCTCACAGAGTGTCTCAGGGGATCGGGGCTGCCCCGGACCGCTGGGAGATGCAGGTAGGAGAGCAAAGCCCCCGCGGTGCCAAGCGATGCAGGGCCAGGCACCCAGTGCTCCCAGCGCCGTCTCTCACAGCGTGTGCAAGGGGTGAAGTGCCATTTAGGCGTGAGCCGATGTCCCCAGACAGTTAAGGAATGAAACGCTGCTGCCGGCTTAGGGCACGCTCCTTCCTTGTTTATTTTTGGGTGCCAGGCTGTATGTGGGGACTCCGTGTCCCCGGTGGAACCCCGGGGACCACGCTGGTGTACAGCAGCGGTGGGTTACGGGATGCACGGCGCCGGGGTCTGGTCTCTTTTCTGACCTGGGGATGGTTACCCTCCGTTTCCCCATGTCGCTGCCGGGATGAACACCACTGCCCCGACCCCCGCGAGCTCTGAGGAGGTCTCGCCTGGGTAACTATCGTTATTTGCTGGGGTTTTTCTGAGCCACTCCCTAAGCAGAGTCCTCCCACACTAAATAACAGCCCACACGCAAATAGTTTTGAAAGCTTCATCCAACTCCATCGCCGACTCTTAAATTATGAAAGAGCGGATGAAAATAACTCTTTCACATGCTACGGGGGATATTTTTGTGCCCTTTGAAGGTTTTTTTTTTTCTGCTTTCTTGAGAGACAGATTAAAAAAAAAAAAATATTTGCAGAACTTCTGCTTTGTTTTTTGTAGCATCTGCAGCACCGACCTGAGCTGGGGCCGGGGAGGATCAGGGAGCGTGGTGTCGCTGTTGGATTTTGGGGCGAGAATGGTTGAAGTCAGGAGGCTGAGACTGAGGAGCTCAACCTGACCTGTTTTTATTTTTGGGGGGGGAAGGCGGGGATGCTGCGGCAGTTTTCTCCGTGTTTTGGCCGATTTTTAAATTTGAAGCTAGGATTTAGACACGTGGTTGTCACCGAGGAGTATACAGCCTGAGCGTGTCCCACCACCGCACAGGGAACAGCGGGAATTTCCCCCTCTGCATCCTTCATCCAGGGCGAGCGATGGGTGGGCGATGCCTCCAGCCAGAGAGAGGAGTAGCACCCAGAGGCACCCCGGGGATGCCTGGGCTTGTTACTGATATATTTAACTTTGGGGGGTTGAGGAGCTCTTTTTTCTCCATGGGAAACCGCGTTTACCATGGAGGAAAGAGATTTTTCCGCAGCCTTTTTTCACCCAACTCCTAAACTCCCTACAGCAGAGCGGGTTGAGCAGTTCCTCATGGAGGAGCTGCCCCTCCTGCACCCCACGATGGACCGAAAATGGAGACGCTCACGTTTTGCTCTGCTCTTTTTCTCCCTTTCCCTAGAAATATTGTCTCGGAGCTGGAACAACTTATCTTTATCAATACGGACGTCGGCCGCTGCCGAGCCTGGCTGAGGCTGGCTCTGAACGATGGCCTCGTGGAATGTTACTTGCAGCTCCTGCTGCGGGAGAAGTCCCGGCTGCCCGAATACTACCAGGCGACCGCTCTGCTCTTAGATGCCGAAGAATGCGAGTTTCTCCTTAGCTACTTGCAGGGCTTAACGTCCTTAACCTTCGAGCTCTCCTATAAATCGGCGGTTTTGAACGAGTGGACTATCACGCCTCTGTCCCTATCGGGTTTGTGTCCTGTTTCGGAGCTGCTGGAGCCCCTCACGTCCTCGACATCCGAACCCCGCAGAAAAGCATCGCTGGGTTCGATCTCCCAGTCATCAGGCTCGGATGAGATCGAGATTCAACCCTCCGTCCTACCCATCGGCAAAGCCAGCAGCAAAATCAAGCTCACGTCGTCCTCGTTGAGCCTTAACACCACGAGCTCGTCCCAGCTCTCTTCCAGCCTGGGCTCCGACAGCATCCTCCCGCCGCACTGTGCCCGCAGTCCCGAGCGGAGCGAGGAGCCGCTCTCCTGCGACTCCGACCTGGGGACAGCCACCGCCGAGGACCTGGACAGGTCGCTGCAAGAGTGAGTCTTTTCCCAGATCTCATCTTCGAAGGGATTTTTAACCCTCTCCTGGGCTCTTGTTCATTTTCTCACTATAGGCAGGAAGGCTTTTCACCCTGTTTTTCTTCAACAAGCTGTTTTTTTCCTGCTGGAAAGAGCCTAAATGGTAAAAGGAAACACTCAGCACAGCTTGCTGGGGCCCTGCTGCCATGGCAAATGAGCTCCTGGCCACTGAAGTGTTTGTCTGTCCTCTTTACTGGGGCAGAAACGTCAGAAAAATGCTGCTCCCTTGTTTCAGGAATGTCACATCTCCCTGCTGTACGCTGGGGGATGCTCCGGGGCTTTCTGCAGGGGGAAATAAATGAGTTTGGTCACAGGAAAGGGTTCTAATTTGCAGCTTCGGTGGATGATTTAGAGGAGGGAGGTTGTTAGTTTGTCATCCTCGTGATTTATTTCTGCCAAACACCCGGCACAAAGATTTCCAGTGGGTTATATAAGCTCTGAGTAATCAGTAAATATTTTCCCTGCCACCTTTAAAACCCGGCTCCGAAGGAGCCTGGCCTCGGGGTGCCGGTTGGCGAAGGCACCCTCTTCCCAATAAAGGTCTTGGAGAGGCTTTAGAGTTGCGGTCTGTTCTTCCCCATCGATAACAGCGTCGTTACCTACTTGTAGGATTTCGCATCTTAATGATGATCCGGGAAGAACCTGCCTTGATTGGATTAAACCCCTGATGGAAAGACATCAGTTTGAATTTTAATCTTGGGGCTGGTTTAGTTCCACTGAGCTGGTGGGCGAAGCCGGGGCATGGGAACAGCATCTTGCCTGGCCAGGCTCTGCTGATAATTGCTCGTTAACAGTATGAAAACATTTCAAACTTGGCACACGGTCTGTGGCTGGATACGCGTCCAGGAGCCGTACGTGGGGCTGGGGCTGTGGGGAGGTTCCCCCTCCCTTACGGGGTGTCCATCAGAAGGAAATTAAACCCCCGTTAACAGGCGTCGTAAGGAAGCGCATCCGTCGCAGGCAGCCTCCTTGCCTGCAGTGGGGTCGGCTGCTGCTCTGTAGGGCACAAATCACCCAGTTTTCTGCTGGCAGGACTGGTGCCACAGGGGTTTTCTGCAGCCGTACGGTGCTGTCAGCCCACGGTGATGCTCAGCCCTTTTTTTTGGGTGGTTATAATTTGCAATAACTGGGTTGTTTGTGGTTTTTTATAGGTTCTGGTTTAACGTAGGTACAAACTGGTCGCTTTTCTGTTTCCAG